GTGGTTGACATGTATAGGACATCGACAAACCTTGGACATGTTGGGACACAATGTCCTACAGACCAAGTGTCTTATTCCTTTTTCCATATTTCTATTAAACTTCTGCAATGTGGTAAACATGGCCAAAACCTGCCTCAAATCCGTGTTCAACATGCCACTTGGCACAATATTTTTATAATTTCTGACATTGGGGGACATGGCCCAACGTGTTATGGACACTGCATGTTCCATTTTGTTAATATTGGAATACAAAATTATGGCAAATATAATTTTTTGTACATTCAAGTAAAAATGTCAAAATGATGTGAGAAAACTTATTAAGAACTTTATGTCAAATTCAGAATATCTACTATTGCAGTTTTTGGATATGCAAATATTTTGATTTTGTTGACACTAGCAAACAAACCAAATTATCTTAATACAACAAGTAGTCGCTGCTCAAATTCAAAATAAAACACCTTCAAAATTCAAAATCAAAGTTAAAAGGTCAATATTGTTGTTGTTGTTGTTGTTGTTTTTTTTTCTTCAAAATTTAAAAAGTCATATAAATACATAATTTTAAAATATTTTAATGAACGCAATCCCGATAGCATGTCCCTAACGAATATTGTTTGTTTCATGTTTGTGCTTCTTGGCCTATACATTTATCTGAATGGAACCATGATTCTTGTTGGTTTTTGTTCAACCAAGTACATTTACCTAGATAAGTTCATTGATTTGATGAAATATTTCAGGTTGGAGACCTTTTAAACTTCTTAAGTGCTGTGTTTTTTGGGATTCATATGCTTAGAACTGAACATATTTCGAGAAGTACCAGTAAAGAAAACTACTTACCACTCCTCGGATATGAGGCGAGTTCATTATTAATGTGAGTACTTCCTACCACCAGTTCTTTATCATTGTTGGTGTAAACTTCTATTTTCTTACAGATATGCACTGTTGCTCTTCTCTCAACTATTTGGTACTCTATGGAAACCTGGTTTGGGGGTGGCATTCAAGAATCAAATATATCATCTTGGACGTGGGCAACATGTTGGCATTTGATTGCAACATTTCCTTGGATACCTGCACTTTACACTGGCATATTTTCAACAAGTCTATGCTTATGGGTAGAGGTACAGTATTTAGTCTTCAAAATGAAATGTTTGTTTCTGATTACCTTTTTACTTCTCACCTTAGATGTGTGCAAAGGGTGTTCTTTTTCCCTTTTTGAGGTACAGTATTTCGCTTTTCCTCATTTTCTTTTCCTGTCTACTGGATTTCATTGTAATCTTTTTATCGCTGTTGTACAGCATTCCATTTATGTTGTAACTTTTGTCTATTCTGAGTATATGCTCTAGGTGTTCATCATCTATAATTATTTGGCACGGATTATTTCAAGGAATTCTGGCTGTGTCCAGCATTAGTTTATTTAAATATATTTGTGTTGGTAGTTATCACTATTCATTACTGAATGAAAAATATGCATTATTTTGGGAAAGTATCCTATCTTTATTGGAAATAATAATAAGTTGCCATGGATAGAAGAATTTAACCAAATTGCAACATTCACAAACTCTTTATTTATCTATTTTTTAAATGTGGTTTATCATACTTACAAAACTTTACTTGACTTGACAATCTTTCTCCAGTTCTGTACTATCTTCCATTTATCTTTCTTGAAGAGTAGCATCAGGATGTGGTTTCTTGATCCATTGTCCTAATGGCTCAGGCTCTTAAAAAGTTCATTTTCGTTCTGTACCTGCCTTGAAGCACAGCAAATTTAGCTGCCTTTTCTTCTCCAATATGCCATATATATGGGAACTCAGATACATGCCATATAGTCTCTATTATTTTTTGTTGTTATTATGATATTTGAAACCCCATCAAGTAGTTCAATATCTTTTCACTATTGATTTCATGATGCTATGATAGACAAACTATGGTAAATTACAGCTGATTCTCACAATTAACAAATGGGGATGAATTGTACACATAGCTCGCTCTCTCTCTCTCTGGCTCTCTCTTTTTTCTCATGATATTTTTGGTGTCTAAGATATTCAATTAGTTTTGCTCTATGTTGCATGGACTTGATGCGACACGATCACACCAACACGTGATTTTCCAAAAAGTAGGACATGAACACATCAACTTAAATTCTTTAAACTTTTAAATTTATATATACCTTTAATTTTATACGTTTTAATATAGGGCAAGGCACATGCCATGTCAAACTCTTGCATGAAGAACGTTCCTAAAGTATCCTTTGAGTGTTAAATAATATATAAAAAATAGGACATTTCATGTGGCTTGTCAAACTTGAGTCACAAAGTGTCTAAAGAGTGTCGTTGTTCGGTAAGACATGACACGACGTGCGTCGGATACGAGCATGGGACCGTAGTTGACATGTCCATGCATCATAGGGTTTGTTCCTCAATCATCGTGAAATATATATGATTAGATTCTGTTATCTAGTCTCAGTATGATTTTGATTACACAGATAGCTGCCATGTGTGATGTTTCGGCTACAGAAACTGCAATAATTTATGGATTGGAACCAGTATGGGGTGCTGCATTTGCTTGGTTGTTACTTGGTGAGAGATGGGGCATTAATGGATGGATTGGGGCTGCTCTTGTGATAGGTAAAATACTTTTCTTTTTCTAAATAAATGCATTTTATTCAACTTCATTTTTTGGTCTAAAAAAGATTGTTTGTCCTTTTGGTTCCAAGGCAATTTGGAATATTATCTCATTGTTAAATTGAAATTTTTTGAATTTGAAAAAAAAAATTCAATGAAATTTCTTTTGTTTTTTCCATTGTATTCCTTTCTCAACATTTATATTGACAACAGGATGTACTTAAAAGGAATTCAAATAGGGGCTTTGAGTTTGTTGAGTTCTTCGTAAATTTGACTTCGTAAATTTGACTATTAAAATTACAGAAAGAGGAAGATAATGAGCTCTCAATAATGAGCTTCTAATTCAATTTCTCCAAAATGGCAAAAAAGGCACATCAGTAGAATAAGATATTTGGATAAAACTTAGGTCAAGTTGATTAAGCTTAGCTTGGGATGAAAATTAGAAATAGGAAAATCATAGTTTGTGTTTGGGCTTAATTAATTAATTAGCAAATTTATTTAGAAAAATAAAATAATTTGACTTATTTAAGATAAAAAAAAATAGGGAGATTTAGTTTTTATTCGGTTCTTGGTTTAGAATTGAGAATCGAATCCGTCGGTTCTCGATTCAAACATTCATTTGAGTATTTAATTTAAGAACTACTCGGTTTGGTTCCATCCAATTTGGTCGGTTCGGTTTGGTCTGAGATTTTGTCCAACCCTAATTCATAACATGATTTAGATCGTGATAATAGGCATAAACTTTGGCTTTGTTTAATGTGGAAAAATGTGAGCAATCCTACTTGAAGTAAAAACCAAAACATGGAATAACTAAAAACTGTAAGGGTCCATTTGATTGCAAAGGTGAAATTTGAGTGGAAAGAAAACGAATTACAGGGAATTGAATTGATGGGAAATTGTTTTCCTGGGAATTGTAAATTATTGTATTTGATTGGTATAATTTTTCACGTGGAAAATGTTTAAATTAAAATGTTTTTTGATGTCCGTTTGATTTTGTTTTACATGAAAATTGTCAATTAAAGGAATAGAATTTACTGGTATTAGGAATGAAATTTGTTTCCATTGTTAAAAAAAAAAAAAAAAAAAAAAAAAAAAAAAAAATCATCTATCTTTGGGTGTTCGTTTGGCTTTGTTTTACATGAAAATTATCAATTAAAAGGAAATATTTTTTTACAATAAATCTTAGAATTTGTTTCCATTACCAACACAAAAAAAATAAAAAATAAAAAGAAAATCAATAAAAAAAAACAAAAACAAAATGCTACAATAACATGGAATTCCAAAGAATTGGTTTTCCTTAAAAACCAAGAAAATATCAATTCCCGAAACAAGCAAGAAAAGGCAATTTCATAGAAATAAAACCCTATCAAACACCATAAAGTTGGAAAATAGAATTCTATTTCCATTTTCCATGGAAAATTTTGGTGTATCAAACACACCCTAAGTGAAGTCTGAAATGTTGTAAATGAACTAACAGATATAGAAATAATTGGTTTTATCTTTTCAAGGGAAATCATTTAATAAATGAACCGTTAAATCACTTGTGTCTCACATCAAGAAAAACTAGGACACTGGAATCTGGAAACAAAAAATTTGATTTGCTTGCTTCTTTTCCTTCTACATGAAACCTATGGTAATATGTTGGTTCTTTTTGATAAACAGGTGGAAGTTTAACTGTGCAGATATTTGGAGCGTCTTCTGACTCAATGAGAGAATACAAAAACAGTAATATAAAAAGTGATGATTTATTGATTTCTGACGAACGAAATGGATTCGCTACACCTCCAGATACCGTTAACACTGGAATGGAGTCACCTGACTTGATAAAGAAATAAGGTAATCGTCAGTTACAAATTTTTTTTAACTTGGAATGCAATTTCCCTGTGATGTTAGAATGCAATTGCACAGTGTGATTGCATGTGCTCTCCTGCACATTTGTAATGCACAAGATTGTAGTCTGACCAAATATAGAGCCATTAGTAGATTGTTAACTTTTTTATTTTCATATAATATGCTAGATGTGCACTTTTAGCAATAATGAAGGGAACTTTTAAGTGTCTTCCACAAATATTGGTCCCTCTCATCTATATACTATATAAAAGGGAGTTGACACTTATTGTGATTTGTCATTTTTATACACACACTCTTTTTAATTATTGTTGTAATTTGCTCTTTATACTTTTAGGACTGGAAGTTGTGGACGCTATAATTATTTCTTATATTTCCTACTATTTCTCTAATGTTTTCTTGCATATAATTGAAATTTGGCATTCCGATGAATTTTGACTTAAAAAGTGTTTTTCCCATGGAAACTACGTATTTCTGCAAATTGGTGAATTTTCAGGATGGAAAAATAATTTTCTACATCGTGTTTCATTGAGCATCTGTATAGGAAATTATGAATCCTCAAGTATATTTTTCTTCGGAAATTGTGCTTTTGCCACTATGTTAGAATTGAGGATAATAATTAATAGTAGTTATGAATGTGTAGTTGAATTAATGTTCGACTTTGACTACATTTATAAACCAATTTATAAATTGTATCCAAACGGTGGCTTAAATTAATATATCTTTATTAACATTTCCAACAGAAAAAACTAGCTGTCCAGGAATAGTCTTGACAAGATACTGCATATTGAGGTAATTAATGGAGGCGAAAGAGTATTGGCTTTGGATTTATCATGGGAAGGTTTAACTGAAAGCAGACTTGAGTTTTTATTTAGTCTGATTGTTTAAATGCATAAATCCTTTCGCTAGTGTTACCTGTGTCTTGAATTGCTGTCATCCAAGTAGGAAAAGAAAATCTGTATTAGTTTTAGTTTGTGGCAGAAAATATCCTTATCTTTTTCCACATTACATTTGTTTATTCTCCTTCGAGTATTGGATTTAGAGAGAACAACAACATTATGGAAAAGTCTCTTGGCATTGAGGTTCCTATCTGAGCTGCATTGTGAATATTCAAGTCTCTTGTAATGGCAACGACCGACAAGAATGATAATAAATGTGAAATGAGGTGAAGTTATGATAAACTACTTCAAATGTAATACATTAAAATTAAACCTTGTTGGTTCAGCAAGAGTTACTCTAGGCGCAAGAGAAGAAAGATTAGTTGGAGCAAGCACATGGTGCAATCTTCTTGTGACTATGCAATGAGGTGTTGTGGACAAGACCTCACAGTTGATGACTCAAATTGGAATCTCTTAAATGACCAGTCCATTATCAACTGATTTTATCTGCAACAGTGACTGTATGCTTAGTAGATGCGGAAAGGTAAACAATTAAAACCACTTTAATGAATTTAACATCATGTAAATATATAGACCATGGATGTTTAGAGTGAATACAAGGAACTGGAAGTCGTGTTCTTTACTTGCTTCATATGGGCATTTTGTTGAAACTGCTACGTGGGGAGACGTTTACTTTAGGCGATGGAGTGCATATCCTTTAACTCTTGAGGTTTAAAAAAACAAAAGTACAGAACAATCATGCAAAGTTGCAGTAAGAGGGGTTCATTGTGAGATGTAGAACTTAAGAAACAGGGTTAATGAACAAAGGCGAGTTTAGATCAAAGGTTTAGATTCTGTGGTTGTGACAGAGTGAGGCATATTAAGGATGACAGAATCCCGTAAGGATGAGTTTGTCTTGGTGAACCCAAAGAGAGCATGCAGCGTGGGAGGGGGAATCAGGTTTCTTTGAACAAACTGAGTCACCTGTGATCATAACCAATAAGTAATGCCTCTAATTGGGCTCGTCATTGAGGGAAGGTGGAAGGGGTAAGCTTTTCATTTATTTGTGTAGGAGCGTTGAGTACAACCATGGTAGTTTCAAATTTGTGTGGGACTAGGAATGTAGTGGTGTTGACAGTGGAAGACATCATGGGGGATAGATTGATAAGCTCGTTAGAATGTTTGCCTGTTATGCCATAAAAGAACTTTACACTGCACATATATTGGTGAAAGGCTACACTATATAGTCATTAAATTTTGCCAATGTATACAATATAGAACATACTAGAATGGATGACTATAAATCAGCACACGGTTGAATGCCACAAATCATGCTATTGATTAGTATTAGGGCTTGGGATTCCATCTTAAAAGTCAACTTTGTTAAGAGAAGTAATCCGACCTTTAGAATCTCGTCTATATTTTCATCTTTATCCGAAATGGGATTTTATCCTTGACATGTCCTCCAATATGGTAACTCGTTTGAGCAGATTAATCTTAAAATTTATGTGCAAATTTTTTAAATCTTAACCAAATCAAATTATTCATTAGAATTTAATGGACTTTAATACGGTATTAAGATTTGAAATTCTATCTTAAAAGATTAGAATCTCAAGTCTTAATTGTGAATAAATTATCTTAGTTCATACACAAGCTGACTCTGACTTTGACTCATTGGGCTACTATCAAGAGGTTGCTTCGGATTCTGAAAAACACCATCTTTCATGGGCTTCTCCTTCATCAGACGAACATGCCCTTAATCTGCAAGATCAATTGCCTGACCTCCTTACTAAACCTCTCTCTTGTTCGTAGACCACCTTGCTACGAAACAAGATTGGACTATCCTATGG